CCCCCTTTGTTTTTTTTTGCCTCCCCCCCCAGGTACGCCAGCCTGTATTTCTGCTGCGCCATCGAGGGCGCTGACAACGAGCTGCTGACCCTGGAGCTCATCCACCGCTACGTGGAGCTGCTGGACAAATACTTTGGGAGCGTATGTCTGGGGGGGGGGGATGTGGAGGGGAGGCTGAGGACCCCCCCCAGCACCATTATGAGCCCCCACCCTCCCACACCTCTCCCAGACCCATTTTTGTGACCCCCCCCCACCTCGGGAATTTCTTCATTCCTATTTCAGACCATCTTAGACAGCCCCCCGCCCCCTGTTTCTGTTCCCCTCCCCCCCAGGTTTGTGAGCTGGACATCATCTTCAATTTTGAGAAGGCTTATTTCATCCTGGATGAATTCGTGATGGGGGGGGAGATCCAGGACACCTCCAAGAAAAGCGTCCTGAAGGCCATCGAGCAGGCTGACCTGCTGCAGGAGGTGGGGACCCCCAGCTGGAGCCCTAGCAGACCCCTAACCAGACCCCCAGTGGGACCCCCAGCCCCCCTCCTGGGGGAACCAGCAGCCCCAAAACCCCATAAGGGAACACTGGGACCCTTTGGTGTCCCATGAGGAGCACAGGGACCCCCCCACATCCCTCATGGATCCCGTGGGGGGGGGGTGTCTCACACCCCTCTACACCCCCCACCTTTCAGATGCCCCCCCCCTGTATTTTAAACCTCCCCCCCCTCAGATGTTTTAGGGATCTTGGCTTTAATTTGAGCTCCCCCTTTAATTTGGGACCTCTGTTAATTGTAGCCCCCCCCTCAATTTTTGCTTCCCCCCAGGAGGATGAATCCCCCCGCAGCGTTCTGGAGGAGATGGGGTTGGCGTAGCCCCCCCACACACACCGGACCCCCACCCCCCCAAAAAAGGACATTTGGCTGGGGCCTCCCCTCCCCCCCCCACCTTTGGGGGTCTGGGGGCTCCCCATGGGACCTCTCAATTTAAAGGGACCACGGGGGGGCGTGGGGCCCCCCAATAAATGGGTGAGATTGCAAGGCTGTGAGTAATTAATTACTGGGGGAGTAATTAGTACGGTAGTAATTAGTGGGGGGTAATTAGGATTGGTTGGTGTGGGGGCAATTAGTGAATGGGGCAATGGGTGTAAGTGGGGAATGATTAGTATGAAGGAGTTAATTAGCAAGTGAGGGGGATAAATAACACGTAATTAGCACATGGGGGGATAATTAATACGAGGGTATGTGGGGGGGGATATAATTAATCCCAGGGAATCTTAGTTAGCATGGGGAGGTTGTAATTAAGATAACAGCCATAATTAACTCGTGGTCTGGATTCATGCTGGTCTTTAACACTTTGGGCCATTGGTAGGGGGAGCAATTAGGGCAAAGAAGGTTAATTAGTACAAGAGAGTTAATGAGAACAACGGGGTTAATTAGAGCGAGGGGGGTTAATTAGCCCGGGGCCCACTAACGAGCCAAACTCGTACTAAAATAGTTGCCTTTATTTGTTAGCAAAATTAATGAAGGGGCGTCTGTGTGTGGGACTGGGGGGAAATGGGAGGGGTGGGATTGGGACTGGGAGAACTGGGAGAGCGGGACTGGGAGTGGGGTTGGGGAACTAGGACTGGAGGAACTGGGATTGGAGGACTGGGATTGGGGGATTGGGGTTGGAGGAACTGGGATTGGGGTTGGGAGGACTGGGACTGGGATTGGGGGAGCTGTGGGCAGTGGGGCTGCGGTGCTGGGATGGGAAATGGGGCCGGGACCCCTCACCACCTCCTCCCCTCCCACTGCATCGCCGGGGTCCGGAACGTCCTGGGCCGGGGGGCGGGGAGGGGCGGCGGGGGCAGAGCTTCATCCCCTCCCTCTTCCTCCTCCTCCTCCTCCTCCTCATCGTCGGTGACGTCATCATCACCGATGACGTCATCACCGGGCAACGCCGCCGCCGCCGCCGCCTCCTCCTGCCGCTTCTGTTCCACGTCATGGATGATGTCCACCACGTCGTCTGCCGGGAGGTGCAGGCGGCTCGACAGCTCGATCAGCTGGTCGATGGTGCCGGGATCCAAACCGGCGTCGCCGGCGTCGTCGGGAGCCGCTGGCAGCGCCGCCGCCAGAGCCTCGGCCAGCGGGAGCGGGGCGGACTTGGATGTCGGGTCGTCGTCGGGGGGGGGGATGCTGAGAGACAGCGAGGGGTCCAGGCGTGGCGGGTGGGGGACGCGGCCACGGATGGGCACCAGGTCGTCGTCCCCGGGGATCTGATTGGCCATGGGGCCCTCATCCGTGGGGAGCTGGCTGGCCGTGGGGAATCTGGTGGCGTCCGGTGGGATCTTCTTCCCCGCAAGGATCTTCTTCCCGGTTGGGATCTTCTTCCCCACAAACACCTCATTGTCCATCGGGGCCCAGTTGTCCATCGGGATCTCATTGTCCATAGGGAAGCCTTTCCCCATTGATAAGGCGTTGCCCCGTGGGAATTCCTTTCCCTTCCCCATTGAGAATTCCTTATCGATGGAGAACTCCTTTCCCATTGATAACCCGTTACCCGCCGAGAACTTCTTGCTCACCGAGGACCCCTTCCCCATTGAAAATTCCTTCTCAATGGGGAATTCCTTTCCCATTGATAACGCGTTGCCCATTGATAAGCCGTTGCCCATTGACAACTCTTTACCCATTGATGCCTTCCCCATCGCAAACCCCTTCTCCTCAGGGAAGCCCCTCTCTGCCGTGTACCCCCTACCCACCCACGCCCCCTTCCTCTCCCTCTCCCCCCCTTCCTCCTCCTCCTCTTCCTCCTCCTCTGACCGCTTCCCCTCGGCTCCGGGGCCGTGCAGGAGGTACCGCAGGAGGAGATCCGAGGCCATATCCGCCAGCCTCTCCTCCTCGGCGGCCGCTTTTCTCGCAGCCTGCGCCTGCCGCCGGCTCTCCATCAGCTCCTGGTAGCGCCGTTCCAGCAGCTTCAGCTCCAGGCTTTGCTGCTGCCGCAGCTGCCGTGCACTCGCCCAGCCCCGGCCCCGTTCCCTTTCCCGTTCCCTTTCCCTTTTTTTGGCCTCAGCGCGAAGTTTGCCCAATTCTTCCAATTCTTTCCACGTTTCCGTCGGGGATCCGCCGCGGCTTCGCTTCGTGCCCACGTCCTTCACGTTGTCCCCCAAGCCGGGGGGCTCCAGGTCCTCCCAAGGTTCCCCCCCCCTCGCGGATGATGGAGGTTTTTGGGGGGGGGGCTGCGGGCGGCTCTGGGCCAGGAGGGCGATGGAGAGGAGGAGGGCGGCGCTGCGGAGGGGGCGGGCGGGGGGGGGCATCGTGCCTGGGGGATGGGGGGGGCAGAAAGGTCATGGGGACGCCGGTAAGGGTCCCCTCGATCCCCCCTAAATCCCCTCCCACAGAATCCCCCGTTGTCCCAATGTTCTGGGGCTCCAAAGTATCGCTTGTGCCCCCCCCCCTCCCCGTAGGCCCCCCATTTCTCCCCATGGTGCCCCCTAAACTCTCCCATAGGTGTCTCCTAAATTCCTCCAAGTGCCCCCCATGTTCTGGGACCCCCATGCTATGAATCCCCTCCACAGTGTCGTCTAATCCCCCCCCCACCCCCCCCAGCGTCCCCTAAATCCCCTCATAGGGTCCCTCATAGGGTCTTCCAATTATCCCCGTTGTCCTGGGACCCCCATGTACTGTGTGTGCCTCCTAAATCCCCCCCATAAGGACCCCCCAGTGCTACGAGTCCCCCCTCCCTTTTAGGGTCCATTCATACAGCATCATGCATCACATACAGCACACACGTGGCACATACATGGCACATACATGGCAAACACACAACACATACATGGCACATACGTGCCTCACACACACAGCACATACGTGTCCACATGTGGCCCATCCATGCGATGCAGAGCCCACACAGCACAGCCGTGCATCACACAGCACAGTGTGAGCTCCATCCGTCCACAGCCCTGCGCACAGGTAACACATGGAGCACACCCGTGCACATCCATGCACACACGTAACACATACAGCACACACCCATGCACACATGTAACGTGTACAGCCCACCCATGCACACACGTAGCATTTCCACATACGTGCCCAGCACCGAAATCACACCCACACACGCACATCCCTGCAGCACATCTGACTCACGGCCCCCCGCCCCCCCCGCCCCCCCCGCCCCCACCCCCCGTGCCCACACACCGTGCACAACCCCCCCCCAATGCCCCCCCGCCTGCCGCAGCTGCCACGCCCAGCGCTGAGCCCCGGGACCCCCCCAAGAATCGCCCAAATCTCCTCCAACCCCCCCCCCAAAGCCCCTAAAATTCTCCCCAGCCCCTCCCCAGAGTCCCCAGATCCCTCCCCACACCCCCCGTCTCCCCCATAGATCCCTCCAAATCCCCCCCCCACAGCTTCCCCACCCCCCCGTCACCCCCACCCCTCCATTTCCCCCATAGGACGACACGGGGCGGGGGCTCGGGATGACATTTACCAACTCGGGGGGGGCTCACGACGATCTCGGGGCTCCCCCCGCTGCCTCCCCAGTCTCTGCTGGGGGGATTCCGGTGCTGAGTTCGGCTCCCGGCGGCGATTCCCGGTTAATTCCAGTCAATCCCCGTTACCGATCCGTGTGCCGCGCTGCTCCCAGTCCCAGCGCGGGGTTCCCACCGGCTCCCAGTTGCTCGCTGTTACCGGTGCCGGTTCCGGTACCGGCAGCTCCCTCCCAACGGATCTCCGGTTCCGTTCTCAGAGGGCAGCGGCTCCGGTTCAGCACCACGGACAGCGCTCGGCGGCTCCGCCCCCTTTTATAGGCGCGCGCGGCCCCACGTGGGGGCTCCATTGACGTCAATGCGCCCATTCATAAAAAAATCCGGGTGGGGGGGCGAGGGGGGAGGAGGGAGGAGCGCATGCGCGCGGAAGGGAGGGGTGAATGGATGAATGGATGAATGAATGAGCGCGGGGGATGAATGAGGAAAGG